TGTCAGGAAATTTCTCCTCAGTTCTTTCCTTGATGAGTTTCCATCCATTGGTACCTCTCCCGCCTTAAACTTCTTTGGAGAATAAGTTGGCCCTCTCTTCTTTGTGGCAACCCCCTTAGATATTGGAATATGGCTATCATCTCACACACACCCAGTCCTTTGTCAAAAGAATAATTTGGGGTTGCAAATTGAGCCAGGGCTGTGCAACAATATAATAAAAATTAGGGCCAGACAGCTGTGAGGAAAGAAAAAACATGTATTCCTAAAAACTAAGATTTTGCTTTTAGGGGCAGCTGCAGAGAAATGGGGTACAGCAGCAGATTTTTATACGGAGAGCTTGTCCGGGGTGTGGAAGTATCTACATGCTGATTCTAGAGTGACGTTTGAGGTGTGGGGGTGTGGGGTGTTCTTGTAAACGTGCAATTCTGCTGTGAGACCTAATTTAATTAACTCTGTTTGCAGACCTTATCCTTTGATATGTGGATTAGGTTTTGGTAATTTATTTGGGAGTTTGAGGAAGTTTGGGTAAAGGATTTCCCCGTTTGCTGTTTTTACTTGATTAATTTAGTTCCAGCTTGACTGTCAATTATCCAGTGGAGACGCTGATTCTCAGACCATTGTGGATTCTGTTAATGTTTTAAGGAAAGATGGAAACAGTATAAAGAATAAAATACATTTGGATATAAAATTTCTCACACCTTCTTTTCATTAGACTAGACTTACCCAGTTCCTGCAACCGTTCTTCATATGTTTTAGCCTCCAGTCCCCTAATAATTTTTCTTGCTCTTCTCTGTGCTCTTTATTAATACGCATTGGCTTTAATGAACATACTAGCGATTCTGATGAAATGACTGGGAGCTCATGAAAGCTGATACCTTTTAATAAAAATTGTTGGTCTGATAGAGCTAGTTAGTAAGCTGTGGAAATTCAGGTAGTCTACTTACAACCATTTATTTAGTGACTGTTTAAAATTATGACAGTGCTGGAAAAAGTAACTTACAACTGGATCTTACAATTGTTGTAGCGTCGCTGTGATCACATGATCACAGCCTAAGCACTTAACAACTGGCTCGCATTAACGACAATTGTCATGTGATTCCCATTTGTGAGCTTCCCAGCCAGATGAGCAAAGTCAACACAGAAGTCAGCAGGGAAGGTCACAAATCGTGATCACCTGGCATCTTGCTTAACAACTGTACCATTGCATGATGAATTTTCCAATCCCAATTGTTGTTAGTCAAGGACTATCTTTATGCCTAGTTTGCAGCACTGCAGAAACATCTTTGTTTTAATGTGGTCCTATAGTTGTCATGCCTGGAAGCAGGGGTGAAATGCTCCCGGTTCAGACCGGATCGCCTGATCCGGTAGTGATGGCAGTGGGCGGTTCGGAGAACCACTAGCAAAAATCCCTGCGCCTCCCCCACCATGCCCAGCACGATCATCAGAGCCTTTTTTTTTTTACTTTTAAAAGCATTTTTTCTACAACCTCTTCTGCCGAAAAAAAATGCTTTTAAAAGTTTTAAAAAAAAAGCCTCTGATGATTGCGCGGCTCAGCTGGCATCGTCAGAGGCTTTTCGAAGCATTTTTTTCTGCAACCTCTTTGGCTGAAGAGGTGGTAAAAAAAAATGCTTCGAAAAGCCTCTGACGATCCCAGCTGAGTTGCCTGATCGTCAGAAGTTTTTCAAAGCATTTTTTTACAACCTATTCGACCGAAGAGGTTGTAGAAAAAATGCTTTGAAAAGCTAAAAAAAAAAAAAGTTGGCCACACCCACCCAGTCACATTACCCACCACCACCACCAAGCCACGCCCACAGAACTGGTAGTAACAAATTTTACATTTCACCCCTGCCTGGAAGCCATATTACCTGTGTGCCTTGAGGATCCAGTCCTGCCATAATCATACTGTGGGAAGTTGCTAGGGAGGATTGCATGAGTGAAGTAGAGATAGCCATAACAAGCTTCTCTAAGAGAAGTTCAAGGCCATGGTGTCCAGCAGCTGTGCAAAGAAGAAATTGGAGGATGTCTTCTATTCAGGCAAGAACTGATTGGAGCTGTGTGGACATGTGGGAGATGTGGGCAAGGTCTTGAACGTTCTTGTGGATGATAACTCTTGTTGATCTTATTGAGTCTGATCCTGAAAATATTGCAACATATTCTAACTGTCAGGAAATTTCTCCTCAGTTCTTTCCTTGATGAGTTTCCATCCATTGGTACCTCTCCCGCCTTAAACTTCTTTGGAGAATAAGTTGGCCCTCTCTTCTTTGTGGCAACCCCCTTAGATATTGGAATATGGCTATCATCTCACACACACCCAGTCCTTTGTCAAAAGAATAATTTGGGGTTGCAAATTGAGCCAGGGCTGTGCAACAATATAATAAAAATTAGGGCCAGACAGCTGTGAGGAAAGAAAAAACATGTATTCCTAAAAACTAAGATTTTGCTTTTAGGGGCAGCTGCAGAGAAATGGGGTACAGCAGCAGATTTTTATACGGAGAGCTTGTCCGGGGTGTGGAAGTATCTACATGCTGATTCTAGAGTGACGTTTGAGGTGTGGGGGTGTGGGGGTGTTCTTGTAAACGTGCAATTCTGCTGTGAGACCTAATTTAATTAACTCTGTTTGCAGACCTTATCCTTTGATATGTGGATTAGGTTTTGGTAATTTATTTGGGAGTTTGAGGAAGTTTGGGTAAAGGATTTCCCCGTTTGCTGTTTTTACTTGATTAATTTAGTTCCAGCTTGACTGTCAATTATCCAGTGGAGACGCTGATTCTCAGACCATTGTGGATTCTGTTAATGTTTTAAGGAAAGATGGAAACAGTATAAAGAATAAAATACATTTGGATATAAAATTTCTCACACCTTCTTTTCATTAGACTAGACTTACCCAGTTCCTGCAACCGTTCTTCATATGTTTTAGCCTCCAGTCCTCTAATAATTTTTCTTGCTCTTCTCTGCGCTCTTCTGTGTACCCTTTATTAATAGGCATTGGCTTTAATGAACATGCTAGCCATTCTGATGAAATAACTGGGAGCTCATGAAAGCTTTTTAATAAAAGTTGTTGGTCTGATAGGCAGCCTGCAATGAGAGAGAAACTTTTTTGCTGGGCTGTCGGCACTCCTAATTAAAGGAATCTTTGAGTTCACTTCAGAGGGTTTGTCGTGTTTGGGGAACTGGGTCAGAACACTTTGCTTGTTGGAAGTCAACCGGAAATATCACAAACAGAGGTCATACGATCTTGGGATGACCCTAAAAGAAATACAAGCTGGTTGCCAAGTGCCCAAATTTTGAACATGAGACCATGGAGATTCTGCAATGGCCATAAGTCTGAAGAGCGGTTGTAAGTCACTTTTTTCAGTGCTGTTGACTGTTATTGAACAGTCACTAATTGAATAGTTGTAACTTGAGGACTACCTGTATTCAGGGGTGGTATTCACTTACCTTTGCTACCTGTTCGCAAATGTGAGTGCACGCACCACCTCTGTGCATGCGCAAAGCCTTCCACGCATGCACAGATTGTCAAAAATGGGACGTGATGACGTCCAGGCGGGTGGGCAGAGCCTCCCGCAGCCGCCGCTACCGGTTCTCCTGAACCGGATAGGACCGGATGAATACCACCATTGCCTATATTGATGTCAATATGGTACCTCCCCCTCTTTCTACTTGTGAATTTAAGTGAAGAACATTGATTAAACATGAATCCACTGTGAAATAACAGAGAAGAATAATATAGAATAACAACACCAACAACAGAGAACTGTCTCATATCATGAGAGCTGACTCACTCGAAAAGTCAATCAACTTTTCGATTGAAGCGGTCAGCGGAAAAAGGAAGAGGGACCACCCTAGTACCCGCTGGCTGGACGCTATAAAAGATGACACTGGGATGACCATGGCGGATCTGAAGGAGGCAGTGTGAGGGAGAGAAGCATGGAAAGTACTGATCCATAGAGTGACCGAGGATCAGAAACGACTGAATGGCTGACGACGTCTCCACCAACTAGGCGGAAGGCGACAATTGGCAGAAATATAGCACAAGAGCAGGAACCATGTTCAAGCATCAAACCAACCACAGAATTGGTTTGGTCTAGTGGCCTAAGGCCCTAGGCTAGAAAGGATGTGAGTTCAAGTCCTGTCTTAGCCATGAAAACTGGCTGGTTGACTTTGAGCCAATCACGCTCTCTCAGCCCAACCCATCTCACAGGGCTGTTGTTGTGGGAAAAACAGGAGGAAGAAGTGTTGGATACACACATCTTCCTTGAAGTATTTGTAAAAAAAAAATAAGAGGAAGGAAGGAAGGAAGGAAGGAAGGAAGGAAGGAAGGAAAAAGAAAGAAAGAAAGAAAGAAAGAAAGAGCCATATTGCTTGTCAATTGGAAAAAGAGAAAGAGGAAAAGAAAGCAATGGTGTGTCCTGCAGAAAGGCATTTTAAAAAAAATCAATCAATGTTTCCAATCTTCATGGACTCCAGACAGTTGACAGATTTTATGTATGTGTGTGTATATGTGTGTTTATTGTATATGCCACCCATCTCTCTGTCCAGTGAGATCAAAACAGCAATAAGGAAAATATGCTTGAAAATTTTATTACAAAAATATGAACAAATCGTATGGCATAATTTTTTTTAGAAAAATGCACACAAACACTGATAAAGTAAGCTGCAATTTCACAGTCAGTCCCAGGACCTTTTAGGAAAACCCAAGTTTTTATTAATTTCTGGACAGCCAGACATCGGACTGGTTGGAAGCTGAAATGGTAAACCGGAGAAGGCGTGAGGCTGAGAGGTCCTATGCAACCTTGCGGTTGAAAATTCAGTTTGTTGGCCAACGTTACTCAAAAGGAGCCTTTTTAAAAAATGTTTTGCAAATTCTTTTCTGCCCAGAATCTTATGCAAGAGGCTTTTTTGAGCAATCTGCAGGTCTAAAGTACAACTGAAGGGTTTCCTTTGTGTCACAACCGCTGCTGATTGGAAATGACTTGCTGAAAAGAAGACAAAAGGCCCTCTTGTTTATTCCAGGTTGTTTATTAATCATATAGCCACAGATGTTACAAGTGCAATATAATGGATGCAAAGCAAGATCCCATCTACCCAAAACATATTTTAGAAAGCAACCTATCTTATGTATGGGTAACAACCGTTGGCACATGAAAAATAAATACCCTAAGTTGATAGACTTGTGCATCATAATTAATAATCATAAGCTCAATGCATGTGTCTGCCCTATAGTGCCAGCTACCCCACTGATCAAGATTCAAAACATCTATGGACATATGTGCTCACTCACTCTGTGGCTATGGAAACCCTTTTTCTGGATTTGCAGAAAGAAAACCAATTTCAGTGCTGTAATTACAATACTAAAACCATCAGATCTAAACAGTAATTAGACACATGCAAAAAGAATAAAATATACTGTCATGTATTTACAAATTATAATCCCAATGAAACTAGTCATATATAATAAACTAATCATAAAACCTAAACCGACCATTTAACTTCATTAACATATTGAACACAAACTAACCAAGGGAGCTAAACCGCAGACAAATAACCTTCCTCAAACAAAATACTAGATGGAAGTGAAAACTCAGCAGACTTTGAATGTAGGAAAAATACTATTATCAGGACTTAAAATGGCCAAGAATAGTGCATGGATGCAATTCTTACTACATACTTAACCTGGTTACTGAATTAACCAGTTTTCTGGATTGAGACAATACATTTGAGTCATAAACTAGCTAAAGAGACTCATTGTGTTCATGGTATTTTTGGTGATAGGTGAGAGTGAAAGTCGTTGATTGCCCAAGAAAGGAATCACACTCCAATCACAACTGGCAGGGCTGGCCACTATTATATAAACCACCAACAAACTCCATTCTGCCCCCTACACTGATGATATTACCAAATCTGGTAAGGAAACATCTGCAGGAAAACAACCCAAGCTCAGAGAAACCAAGAACACTGAGTTATAAATATTCTGTTTACGCAGGCTGGGTTGGCAAAATGTACAAACCCAGGGGAAAGGAAACTTAACTGATTTAACACTAAGTCAATTCAGCATAGCTTCACCACCTTGATTCAACTGATTATACAATAAGAGAGACTATGGAAAAAATTGTAAGAAGTCATCAGTGCTAAATTCTATGTGCAATTATAATTATATAATTACTGTAAAGTTGTAATAGCCGTGTGCTATTATTCTATGTTCTAAACATTTCTCTGTAAGGTTGATCAAGCAAGCAGAAAAAAGGATGATACTCTCTGAACACAAGAGCTGCAAAGAGATCACTAGACATGGTTTGCAAGAACTCTTCCAAAAACAGAGATCCTCAGACGATTCTTTCTGAATAGCTTGAGTTCTTTTGAGTGATGGTAGCAAAGACGGAGCGATAAATTCCTCCGTTTCTTCCTCACTGGATTTTTTTCTTTGTGCTCTCAGAACAACGGATCAGAATCAAATCTTTACTGGGTCTCGGAGGGATTACCGGTTTGGGTTCATCGTTCTCGTTTGTTTCCGCTGTATAAAATAAAATGGAGGGGAGGGGAAAACAGCCTTGAGATGATACAGCAAAACTTTTTACATCATTCCAAACTGACTTCCTGATTTGTGGTGGAGAAAAGCAAGACTTACTTTCTTTCAGATCTGGCATCTGTAATGGTGTAACCCTGAGGTCATTAGAGAATTAATATTCATAGACTTAATTTGCCACAATACTAGAGTAGGCTAATAATTGTGTTGCCTATCATGTCAGGTTGAATATTCCATGCAAATATTCCATATGAAGACATTTGTATCAATAAATGATATAAATAAATCAATAGAGCCGAGGTGGCAAAGTGGTTAGAGTGCAGTACTTTAGGCTATTTCTGCTGACTGTCACCTGCCTGCAATTTGGCAGTTCAAATCCCACCAGGCTCAAGGTTGACTCAGCCTTCCATCCTTCCGAGGTGGGTAAAATGAGGACCCAGATTGTTGGAGGCAATAAGCTGACTCTGTAAACTGCTTAGAGAGGGCTGTAAAGCACTGTAAAGCAGTATATAGATCTAAATGCTATTGCTATTGCTAAAAGGAGAGGAAAGGACCTGCTTAGCCAGAGTTAAATGTTTGGGTTAGTGTTTCTCTTTAAAAAAAAAAAATATTATTAAAATATAAACACAGATATAAAGACAATACAATACAATACAAAGACAAACAAAAAACCCACCACCTACAAACCCACCTAACATTTTACATATACGTTTTCGTCATCAACAGAATATATGTCATTGAGCTTATATAGTTTAATAAAGAGTAATTATTAAATATCTGATTCCAATGTTATAACCTTACACTACAAGATTACATTATTTATGAGTTCATCTCCTTATGCAAGTCTTTACCCTAATTTCTGTCCTCTACATTTTTGCTGATTTTCCTTTCCAGCCATTGATACCATTGGTGCCATAGGGTTAGTGTTTCTCAACCTTTAACCAGAATTAAATATTTGGGTTAATGTTTGCCAACCTTGGCAACTTGAAGATGAGTGGACTTCACATCCCAGAATTCCCCAGCCGGGTGATTTTTGCCCAATGGCCAGTATCATGTTGTTTGAGTTGGACAGTCATATTAAAAAGAGGAAATAATTAAAACTCAAAGAAACCAAGTTCACAAAGGCTTAGAGCAGTGTTTCTTAACGAAGAGCCTTGGTAGTATAGTGGTTTAAGGCACCCTGTTATTAAGCTGGTTATTAAGACCAGCTGCCTGCAATTACTGCAGGGTTCGAATCTCGCCAAGGCTCAAGGTTGACTCAGCCTTCCATCCTTTCTAAGGTAGGTAAATTGAGGACCCAGTTGTGGGGGCAATAAGCTGACTTTGTATAAATATACAAAAGGATGAAGGCTATTGCTGAGCACATTGTAAGCCACCCTGAGTCTTCGGAGAAGGGTGGCATATAAATCAAATTAAAAAAAAAAAAAAAAACTTTGGCAACTTGAAGATGGTGGACTTCAATTACTAGAATCCCCCAGCTGACAAATCACCAGCTGGGGAATTCTGGGAGTTGAAGTCTACCCATCTTCAAGTTGCCAAGGTTGACAAATACTAGCTTAGGTGGTCAGAGAAGGCCATTTTGTGCCTTGTCACCTGTTCATATTTAACCAAATTAGAGATTTTGGAAGGACATTTTTCTGAAGCTCCCCACACTTACCGATAATATTGGTTTTGCCCAAGAATTTGGTCTTCAGCTTCTTTCTGCTTTGCATGTATTTCACACTGTTCCGCCTATACGTCTCCTGGCTGATCTGCTTGCGACTTTGTGTGTGGATGCTCTTGATGTTGCTGATGCTAGACCTGCCCGGTCATCCGAAGGAAAGGAAAATCATCAATGAAACTATAAACACGTGAATAACAATACCAGAATCTGCTAAAACAGGTTTCTCCAATCTGGCATTTTCCTGGTTGTATGGATTAAAATTCTCATTGTTTCCAAGCAGAGTAATTTCCGCATATTTTCCTATAAAATCCCCATGGTTCCATTGGCTAGGGATGATTTGATCTGGATCTTGCATTGAGCGAAATGTCAGATTCGTTGACCTCTTCTTCCCAGTTTTCCGATTATGGAATTTTATGCAATTGGCTAATTTCCCAGGCTTAAACCCTCATATTTTCTTTGTCCCGAGAAAATGTAAATTTTGCTTACTTCCTGCTGAAGTAACCAGCATTTATCTGAGCTCCTGATTCATATATTAGTCTCGGCGAGTCGCTGACAATGTCTACTTATGGCCAAAGGCCAAAGTAAACTAATTCTTGATTTACATTTACATCTAGGGCAGGGGTCAGCAACCTGTGGCTCTGGAGCCGCATGCAGCTCTTTTGGCCCTCTGCTGTGGCTCCATGTCAGGTGATCCCATCACTGGCTGGTCCCGCCCCTCGCCCTTCCCTCCCAGTCACTCCTTGCCTGGCCTGAGAAGGTAAGGGCGAAGGCGGGGGATGGAGAAGCAGCCAGGGCAGAGACAGCGAGATACAGAGAGAGTGGGGGAGAGAGAGAGACATAGAGAGATACAGAGAGAGGGGGAGAGGGGGGAGAGAGAGGAAGGGAGGGGAGAGAGAGAGATGTCAAAAGAATGTTGTGGTTCCCGGTGTTTTTTAACAACTGGTTCTCTGCCCTAATGACCGGCTGGGTAAGTGTGGCTAGGGGGGTGTCATGTGACTGGTGGAAGTGAGTGACATCGAATTGGCCACACCCACCCAAGTTTTGTGGCTCCCAGTGTTTTCTTTTCTGTGGGAAATGGGTCCAAATGGCTCTTTGAGTATTTAAGGTTGCAGACCCCTGATCTAGGGGCTCCAAATTGATTCTAAAGAGAACTCTCTTCATTTTGTCCCCACAAGAACCTGTGAAGTAGGCTGGGCTGACATTAGGTCAGCCCAAAATCTCCCAGTGAGTTTCCGTGGCTGAGGATGGACTCGAAGTTTGGTTTCACCAGTCTTAATTCAACACTTCAAAACAAACAAACAAACTTCCAGAGACCCCCAACTGTACCTTCGAGGTGGTGCTGCTTTATTCCTCAGCTGGTTGTTCTCGGTCATGTTTTCCTCTCCTGCTTTTTGCAGATACATCGAAGGATAGTAGCCTGTGATCTCTTCCTTCCTAAGATTTAAGAAGACCATTTTATTTATTTATTTATTTAGCGTATGGTTGGTCACACACAGTATTAAAACACTTCATTTTTACAGGTTAAAAACAATAAAAACAATAAAAAAAACAGTAAGAAAACCTAAAAGGAAAACAGAAATAACATTTCAAAGTTTAATGTCGAGTTTGGAGATCCAGTCAGTAGCTGCCGTTGTTATTTTATTGAAACATAAAAATAAACAAACAGAGATAGCTTGGACTACAGTATGGTCACGCTGCATAGCAAGATCCTTCTAAGAAAGATGAAGTCTACATAAACACTGATGATGTTACCTAGTTGGGTAATAAAACATCTGGAAGCCAACAACCAAACTCAGAGAGCACCAAAGATTCCACAGTTCAACCCTGAGCTATATATATTCTCCTCTATTGGTACATAATGCTGAACAGAATATGTCATGCTCCAGGGCTTTCTCCCACACACTGATTAATTTAGCTCTGAATGTAATGCCGTGTTGCAATACATAGATGCTCATCAGATGGCTGTCAGCTAAGACTTCCTCTTTTTAACACCTGTCACTTCTGAAGAAGCTTCTTGGATGAGAAACGAAACATCTTCAAAGAAAACCCAGAAAGTCCAGTTACCTCTTGAAAAAGCCCCTTTGGGACAACCATGACCTGGATGACTGAGAATTTCCATAGACACCTGTCACTTCAGATTTTTGAGGGCCTCTTTGGGGCTCTATCCGGGTATTTATTCTGTGTTGACTGAGAATTTCCTTTTAAGCAGCACACTAAAAGTACAATAATGCATGGACATTGGACAATTAGAGTTCTGCCTCCATGTGTTGTCAAAGACATGGAAATCAACCATGGATCAGCAATTGCCCTGCAAAATTTCTATCAAGGGTTTTTCCCAGTCTACCTCGGAATTAACCTAGAACTTCTGCCCACAGGTCATGTCTGTGCCTCTGAGTTATGACTAAAGACGAAAGACTACACTCACGAGTTTCACCCTGAAGCACTCCAACTACATTCACAGATGACTTCATGTATGGGAGAAAGGAAGAACTTGAAAAACGTGAAGAGGAACTGGAGAGAAACCAAACTGGAGAAAATTGATTTTGACAGATTCATCATTGCAGACAAGGGATTCTCAGCTCTTAAAACAATTGGATTGGGTTTAGGTCTATGGAGACTTTTAATCAACCAGGTCATGGTTGTCCCAAAGGTGCTTTTCCCAAAAGGGTATTGGACTTTCTTGGTGTTTTTTTTATCTTTCTTTGTTTGCTTGAAAATATCTTGCTTCTCATCCAAGAAACCAAGAAAGTTCTCAGTTGTGAAAACATCTCCTCAACAAACAATAAGTTGGGGCCACCTTTGCACAACACTCATTGATGAGTGTCATTCCCACTTTCAGCTGCAGGAGCCTTCAATGAGGTGTCCTCCAGAGGTGGTATTCAGCCGGTTCTGACCAGTTCTAGCGAATCGGTAGCAGAAATTTTGAGTAGTTCGGAGAACCAGCAAATACCACTTCTGGCTGGCCCCGCCCCCAATCTATTCGCTGCCTCCCGACTCTCAGCTGATCAAGTCTCAGCTGATCAGCTGGGTCTTCTTTTGTTGCCATGCATAGGAGAACGGAGCTGGAAAGGAGGTTAGTGGGGTGGGGTGGGAATGAGGATTTCGCAGTATCCTTCCTTGGAATGGGGTGGGAAAGGGGATTTTGCAGTTATCCTTCCCCTTCCATGCCCCCCAAGCCACGCCCACCAAGCCACGCCCACAGAACCGGTAGTTTAAAAAAAATTGAATTCCACCACTGGTGTCCTCCAAGCAAGTTAGGACTCCGGCAAGTAGATTCCCCAGTCAGAATTTTGAAATTTGTCCCAGTGCATTTGCAAGAGTCATAGCTGAAGCCTTACCTGACTACCCACCAACCATCAAGCAGTTTATGGATAACTTCTATGGTTTCTCCTTCCTTCAGGGAAATCTCGTCTTCCTGAGCAGCTGTGTAACCTTTTCGGACAACATGGAGCTCACCTTGCAAACAGAGAATATTTGATTGATTGATCAAATTTATACGGCCACCCGTCTCACAAGAAGTGATTCTGAATTGAAACTGATATCAGGTGCCCCAAAAACATTTAACTGCTTTCATTCATGTTTTAAATCAGTTACCCATTTTACAGATTGGACTATGGAGTGTGTAAACCTGCTTATGCATCCAAAGCATGAAAGGCCAAAAGAGGGACGAACTCAAAGTTAGAGATGAAACAAATTCTGAGGGACAATAACCACTTCAGACAAATTTTCATATTTTTATATTTCATTTAAATTAGCTTCAACCAGCAAACCTCTTTTAAATGTCTTTTTATAATGGTGAATATTTTATCAGTTAATGAGGCATTTTAATGAGAAAATAAATTAAACAATTTGGATTGTTAATATGTGTTTTCAAAACACACTAGATTTTTTTTAGTGAGCCCCAAAAGAAAACATGCCGGAAGGAAGTGATTAATGGCAACTTTTTTTTTTTTTTACAAAAATGTATAATTTTACGTTAAGGAAGCTGCAATGTGTACAGTAATTTACTGCTAATTTATAAATCATGCAGCTAAAGTAGAACCAGACTATATATCTATATTAATTTGATCGTATTTATTTTAATTTTTACTCAATATTGATTAATAATGTGATATTTTCATTGCTTATTGATCACTGAAACACACATACTGTACTATTGTTTAGTATGTACTGATCATTAATAAATATCACAGTAATTTTTTCAGATATATTGTAGTATTCTATATTATTGATTTCTTTCCCTTATATTATATTACATAAGGTATAATATACATAAAAGTACCCTTTTAGAAATCTCACAATAACATATCTCCCTTAATTTCCCCTCACAATAACACCTTTGGGATGAAGATTCTCTCCTTCAGTTCCTTTGTCTAAACCAATTATATTTGACTCAAATTAAACTAACAAAGGTTTATCATTTCTTGTTCTATGGTTGTTAAACTGAGTCATCTCTGACTTTGTGTTTTAAAACCAGTCTGGCCTTTATTGCTAATTATTTTAATATACTACATTAAAATCTGACAGGAATGAAGCAATAGGGAGACATCCTTAGCATATTTTATAATATGAATGCCTAAATTATTTCCTTTTCTTTTTTAACGCAATTCGGGCAACTTTCAACTTATTCAAGCATTTGTTGAAAAACTGTTCAAAGTTACAATAGTGCTGAAAAAGTGACGTACGATCAGTCCTCACATTTATGACCGTGCCTACAGTCACATGATCAAAATTTGGGTGCTGGGCAACCAGCATATATTTATCACAGTTACGGCATGTCAAAATCACATGACTGCCCTTTGTGACTTTCGCAAAGTCAATGGGGAAAGCCGGATTCATTTTAACAACTGTGTGATTCCCTTAATCATAGGAAATCACATAATGTCCGTGGTAAAAGAGGTCATCAAATTAGGTCTCGCTCAATAATTGATCACTTAGCAACAGAAGCTACAGTCTTAATTGTGGTCATAAACTGAGGACTACCTCTACCTTCTAGAGCAGGGGTGGGCAAATGTGGCTCTTTTACAACCTGTGGACTTCAACTCCCAGAATTCCTGAGACAGCCAAGCTGGCTCAGGAATTCTGGGAGTTGAAGTCCACAGGTCATAAAGGGGCCATATTTGCCCACCTCTGTTCTAGAGCAGTGATGGCTAACCTTTTCCGGACCGAGCGCCCAAAGTGTGTGCGAATGTGTGTGCGCCAAATCCCCAAAATGCAATGCGCACACCACTCCCCGCATGTGCCCCGGCCCCTGCACATGTGTGTGCACCCCCCTACATGTGGCCCCCCGCATGCGCCCTGCGCATGCGTGGCAGAGACCTGACGACCAGCTGGCTGGAGGGAGGCGCATGCGCATGTGTGCGGTGGAGCTGAACTGGGGTGATGGCTCGTGTGAGAGGGCACTGCGTGTCACCTGTGGCACGCGTGCCATAGGTTCGCCATCACGGTTCTAGAACTAAACTCGGGCCTTGCTCTGCATGGTCCTTAGACTGAGGACCACTTCTAATCCAACAGTAAAGTTCATTTACCTGCATAGTTGGGCTCCTGTTCTTCAGCTTCATCTGGACTATCCATTGGTTCTAGATAAGCAGCTGGTACCCAACCTCGTTTATTCTTTTGCTGACAAAACCACCATCCTGAAATGAATAACCAAAAAGAAGGGTTGGGTTTTTTTTCACTGAGCAAAAGGCCCGAACCAACACACGATGGGGAAAAAATGTAGCCAGCTATTTTCTTACCACTCTCACTCTTCTCCACCACGTCTACTATGTCCCCCACCTTCATGGCCATCTCAGTGCTAGAGTTCTTCTCATAGTCAGCAATCACACGGTAGGTCTGTAGGATGATTGGGCCGGTGATGTCTACAGAAAAGGAGAAATCTTTGGAATGAGAAGCCCAGACAGGACCCAACATTTAACAGAACAGGGTTAGCCCAGAGCAGTGGTGGGTTCCAACTGGCTTTACTACCAGTTCTTTTCATGCACGTGCTTCGCGCACGATCACCCAGAGCAGTAGGAATAACAAAGGGGTGGGTGGGAGGGCCCAGCTCCTGGACAAAGAGAATCAGTTTGGTGACATCACATCGTCACCGCTACTGGCTCGTCCGAACCGGGCCAAACCGGGAGGAACTCACCACTGGCCCAGAGATATTGGAAGGGAATGGGATCATCTCTGATTTGTGTCCATCTGAATAGATTCCTCTCTTTCCTCCCCATCCCTTTTTTCCTTGGCAGTGTTATCTTTTCAAGTTGTAAACCTGAGACCAGGGACTATCTTTTTGCGAGGGGAAATCTCAGTTTATTTATTTAGTTTATTTACCGCCATATATGTTATTTTGTGCCACTTCAATTTAAAAAAGGGAATCTAAGCATCTTAAAGGAGCAGCATACATATAGTATGAAGAGATTCTTTCCAGAACAAAGAAATAATTTCCCGAGCTAGTAAAATAAGAGACTTCACATAACCTAAAAGCTAGACTTGATCATTGAGAATTTTCATTTTTAAGTTTTTCCCAATGCTATTCTTCTTTAAATGCAGGTGTCTAGTCCTCATGATAAACTATGAATTAAAACTTCCTGAAAATGATAATAAAATCGTGCAGAAAGGGCAGTGTAGAGATGGGAATCTTCCATTGGAATAGATCAAAGACCTATCTAATCTGGTATTCTGCTTTACCTCACAGTGGACACTGGTGGGTTGCTACTAATTCCCCCCGGATTGGGCAAACTGGTAGCTGCAGCGGTGGGAGGCTCCGCCCACCCACCCGGATGTGTCTGCGCATGCGCAGAAGTGCTGCGCGCGTGCGCCCATGAGCAAACCAGTAGCGAACAAAACTGAAACCCACTACTGCAGCTGATGCCTTAGGGAGCCTGGATTTAGTGCAAAACATCCTAGCACCTTTTCATTCTCAACACAGGTGAACAAATGCAAGAGATGGCACAAACGGTTCCTTTTGATTCCCATTGACTTACCTGTTGCAATCTTCTTTGAATCTCTTGGCATCAGGAATGTTTCTGGTTTCTTGGGGCTGCAGGGGGTAAAGGCAAGACTTGTTACTCTTTCAAGCATTACCGATTAGCCACCAATGTAAATGAAATAGCCTTTAGCAAACCATTGAATTATTCCTTATTCCTAGACTGGCCTCTGAGCCTGGTTAAGATATAGTGAGATTGATGAAATTCTATGCTTTAGTCCAGGGAGTGTCAAACAGAGTCCCGTAGAATTTTGAAGATTCCTGAGAATTTGATGGGGTTTTGTAATACATTCATTTAAATACATCCAAGGATGTTAACTGCAGAAAAAACAATTGCTACCAACCTGCCTTCCATTGAGGACCTTTCGAAAAGAGGGCTGTGAAAATATCTACAGACCCCTCACATCCTAGACATAAATTGTTTCAACTTCTACCCTCAAAAAGATGCTATAGGGCTCTGCACACCAGAACAACTAGACACAAGGACAGTTTTCTCCCGTATGCCATCACTCTGCTTAAAAACTAATTCCCACAACACTGTCAAATTAGCTACTAAGACTGTATTACTATTCTTCTTCTCATCCTTACTAGTACCTATCTCTTCCCACTTATGGCTATATCCATGTTGCTTGTATCTTTATAACATATATTGTTTTTATTGTTTCCTAGTATGATTTGATTGCTTATTAGTATCCTATGACTATCACTAAGTGTTGTATCTTATGATTCTTGACGAATATATTTTATTTATGTACACTGAGAGCATATGCACCAAAGACAAATTCCTTGTGTGTCCAATCACACTTGGCCAATGAAGAATTCTATTCTATTCTATTCTATTCTATTCTATTCTATTCTATTCTATTCTATTCTATTCTATTCTATCCCATTCCATTCCATTCCATTCCATTCCATTCCATTCCATTCTAACTGCACTATTTTCTAACATTCAGTGGAAAGGATGGGGCTGGTCAGCTGACATTGAAAATCCCCATCCCTATAGGGCAACATTTCTCAATCTCGCCAACTTTGGACTTCAACAAATAAGAATTCCCCAGCCAGCATCGAGAGTGGACTTCAGAGCAACTTTTCATATTAATGAAAAAATAACTGATCATCCTAGGGGAGTCTCCCCATATGGTGGCTAAGAGATGACCTTGACATGATAAGTATATGATCAAGAAAACAACTGAGAATGTATACAAGGGAAAGTTCCCTGGCTGCTAAGTCATCATTCGATTTGCATTAAAAAAAAAAACCACATTGCAAGCAGGGTGGTACGATCTCTCATAAATCTGCAATAATATTCTCTCTCAAAGTCTTTAAACCATGGTCAGTGGCTGCAGCATTAGCTGAAGAAAGGAAGAGGAAGTGGTAAGTTCTAAACAAAATGCAAAACTTTTTAAAATTGCCGGTGGGTAGTTCCACAACGCTACTGTTTCCCCCTCACTCGCCAGTCACATTTCACCAGAAGGAAAGACAAGGGGAAATAGCCAAGCTCCCTGAGACTTTGCATTTCCACTAATTGCTGGCTAAGAAAAGGTGGAAACAGCGGGATCCTTGTGCATGTTGTTCTTTATCAACTGAGCTTCCAATTGATAAAGTGCAAATTCCAGGTGGGCCAAAAGTTTCAGTCTTTTGATTGTATTTGGAGAGGAATCTGGAGATGTGAAGGAGCTGTAGGAAGTTAGCACCCACCCCTCTCCTAGGAAAATGAGATGTTTTAGGAGATATTAAAAGGGCAGAATATTTCCCCTAAAAGGGAGGCAGAAACTCACCCCCCTCCCTTTGTCAATGGGCCATTAAGGCCTGGGCCAGTCTATTCTACATAACAAAGATCTACAACAAAGAATTCCCCAAAGCCCTTCCATTACATCATCACCCAGCAAGAGTCAACCAAGTCTGGGACTCAAAAGACAACCTACAAAGTTACCCCTACATGACCCCATGGGAGCCTGACAACCAATGAGAACACAAGCTCAAATTAAAAGCCCAACAGAGGGCATATAACCCAGGCACTCTCAGCATCTCTGCCCTTTTTTTGCCCAGGACCTCAAACCACATGGTCCTGTCCACCATTAAACCATCTTTTCAATCAGTCTCTGTGTTTCCAGTGTCTTTCTCCCCACTTGGAACTGAACCCAGATGGACATTTCTTCCAACAGAGTGAAATACAGAGACTTAAGGACACCTGATTTTCCCACTTAAGTCCCACTGTCCCAAACACTTCCTGGTTTCACTGTTTTGGATTGTGGCCTTTAACCCTCCATGAGTGGCCTGGTGCAGCCTCTCAAACTAATAAAAGCAGATTCAGGACCTGGAGAAGGAATGAGACAATACATTTGCAGAAATAATTTGCCCACAAGCTCTGCAGAGCTACACTCTTGCATCACCAAAAAAAGACCACAAAAAAAAAAAGTGGGTGGATTTTTTGTGTGTGTTTTGTTTCGTTCTTGCAATTCCGGCTTCGCTGCAGGATTTCCCAAAATAAATGTCCTCAAACTCTGAAATTGCAAAGCCCTGGACCATTTCATGTGGCACTTAACCACCCTTAAGGGTTAGGTAGATGTTCTATAAAATAAGAACCCTTTATTTAGGTAAGGCTTTGTTTGAGTACAGCCAGCCTCCAGCTCTGACTGTGTTTCTGGTAATGAATCACTTTTAGGGAATTTCCTTCCTTGTTATCCTCTTTATCTCCTCCGGCAATTTTCCTATCAAAATCTGTCCGGAAAAACCACTTGGTAACAAACAGGGCCAATAACGTCAAGGTCAGGCTCAAGATAAGAAAAAAAAAACATTCCCTATTGCAGTTCTTCTAGTTTCCATTTAAATCTATACCTGCGGTCACGCATCGTGTGGTTTTGTTTGGTTTGGGTTTAGTGTTTGCATGAATTCAGTCATTTCATTTTGCATAGATACAGTCAGTGGTGGGATTCAGCCGGTTCGCACCACTTTGGGAGAACCGGTTGTTAACTTTCTGAGCAGTTTGGCAAACTGGTTGTTGGAAGAAATCATTAGGGCAGAGAACCGGTTGTTAAATTACTTGAATCCCACCTCTGGATACAGTACACACATCTGGGACGAAGCCATGATTGTAAGCCACTCTGAGTGGCTTACCATATTTATCAAGCAATTCTGGTTGATTCTATTAGCATTGGTTGCATCCAAAACATGGATGGTCCCAATCTGCATCTTCCAGAGCCTGGCCAATACTCACTGGTTTGCAGTAGAAGGGTTCAAATCATCTGGTCTGACTTTGAAGAAGCTTAAGATGTGCACACAACGGGAGATCTTGCGTGGAAGATTGATCAAGGCAGAGAAGTATTCGGACAGAGTATTTTGCCGGTTTTCAGTGGCGCGTTGGCTGTCAAACCACCGTGGAGCTAGAGAGAGAAAGGAAGAAAATACATCTTATCTCAGGTGAAGCTCTTTATCCATTTCTGGAGAACCGGTAGCGGAAATTTTGAGTAGTTCAGAGAACTGGCAAATACCACCTCTGACTGGCCCCGCCCTGATCTATTCGCTGCCTCCTGAGTCCCAGCTGATTGGGAGGAAATGGGGATTTTGCAGTAACCTTCTCCCTGGAGTGGGGTGGAAATGGAGATTTTACAGTATCCTTCCCCCTGGAGTAAGATGGAAATGGAGATTTTACGTATCCTTCCCCCTGGAGTGGGGTGGAAATGGAGATTTTACAGTATCCTTCCCCCTGGACTGGGGTGGGAATGGAGATTTTGCAGTATCCTTCTCCTGCCACACCCACCAAGCCACACCGACAGAACCAGTAGTAAAAAACTTTGAATCCCATCACTGTCTAAACTGGTGTACTTCCCCATAATCCCAGACCGAGATTTTGCTCCACATTCTCAACTCTTGGATATCTCTCCCTCTTTGTGTGTTTTGAGCTTCCCGCAAGAGAAAAGGAAGGAAAGGAAATTAAAGGAAAGAAGGTCAGCTAAACCCTACAAGGAATGGGTCACCTTTCAGAAATGCCATAATTACATTCTACAATGCAGATTGTGAGTTGGGTGAAATAGAAGAGCTTTGAGGACATTTGTCAGACCTGTCCCGACTTGGTCCTTTAGTTAAGAAAGTCCCACAACTCCATTTGTAGCGAAAGATATACTTTTACTAAAAGCCAAGTGGATTACAGCATAGCAAAGCCAGAACTGAAGCTCGCGGACCAAATCTGTAAGTTTAATTTTTTTCCTCCTCCTAAACTCTTCCCCCTTCCCCTGGATGGTCCCCCTCATCGTCCAATCAATTTTGAAAGAAGTGTTTTTGAAACTGGTCATGCATTCTTCTCCCAGGGCAACGACATTGAGAACTTGTCTCTAAGAAGTAGGCTTCTTCCCATCAATTTCATCAGTTTCATTTCCCCCACAAGCATTCATCAGTTTCACTTTCTTCTTCCTGTCCGGTTCCCTGCTCCCATAATTCATGGCAGACTGACAAGCTAGCAGATGCAAAGTTCAAGTATATGATGGCAGCCTGACAACATTCCTAAGTCTGAGTTCTCTAAACAATAAATGCAGCTTGTTTGGCTTAGACTTATAGCTTGGTATATGAATTCCAGTTCTGGCTTTTATGAATGTTTATGTTGTAGAAAGTTGCGTGAACCCAACCAAACGTGGTTAATCAATAAACCACCATTAAGTAATGGCTTAGAACAGTGATGGTGAACCTTTTCAGGACTGACTGCCAAAAAGGGAGTGCTCCAGCTCACGTGTGCTTCCAATCTGTGTGCGTGTGCAACCCGGAAGAGGAGCTGCCCAGAGCGCATGCGCACATCCGAAAATGAACTTCTGTTTTCAGCTACTGAACTTCTGTTTTCAGCCAGCTACTCTTCCGGGTTTCTGGCATGCATGCACACATGCTGAGTGCCGAAAAGGGAGTGTGTGTGTGCTCTTGGGCTTTGCGCCCATGTGCCTGGGCTGCAAACCAGAAGAGAAGTGCACCTGGGCGTGCCCAAAAATGAACTTCCGGTTTCAGCTACTGAACTTCCAGTTTCAGCCAGCTACTCTTCCGGGTTTCTGGCATGCATGCAGACATGACAATCAGCTGGATGCTCACATAGGAAAACGGAAGAACTGCTGTTCTAGTTTCCAGCACTGCCGCATTCAAAAAGGCCAGATGATCATCACGTGTGCCTGCGTGCCAGAAACCCGAAAGAGGAACGGGCAACACCGCGCATGCCAGGCGAGATGGCTCTGCGTCCCACTTCGTGCACGCGTGCCATAGGTTCACCATCATGGGCTTAGAACGATAATTGAAAACAGGTCTCAATCAATGCTCTAAGGCAGAACTTCTGAACAGTCTGTTCCTGCCAGGAGAGGCTAGAGACAAAGAAAGCAGGAGAAATATGAAGGAGCTCTCATAACTGCTGACCTTCTATGACAGAATGGGTTCAATACAAGGCAGTTTCAAGGCTGCTTGCTTGCAAGCATGGGTCCCAAATTCTGAAACCACCTGTCCTCAGCATTGACCATGTATGGTTGCTTGTCAGCCACCTGCCTCTGGCCCATAATACAACTTTTCCAGGAGTCCTCTACATATCATGTTAGGTTAGTGTGTAAAAACCCAGAACTTGCACGCAGACGTTAATGATCCTATCATTCCTTTCCCAAAATTTGTGTAAAATCTGGGCACATCGTGAAAATATCGAAACCTTTCAGTTTAAGGAAGCCAGAAAATCTCTGGGAAAGATTTATTTTGAACCTATCATGGTCTCAGTTCCACTTTGACAAAGTTCCAGATATCTGGTGGTTGGAAGGAGAGCTGGCTTTTAAGATAGAATTTCAGTCACAACAGGTCAATAATCCAGTAATGACAAAGATAGTTCGTTCATTAAAATGTTGGGTTTTATATATATAAGCAAACGGGGGAATTTTCAGAAATCAAGATGAAACCACTCAACTTTTTTCATCAGTTTAACTGCTGTCATTTCATGAAATGCTGCTAGCCCTTCGTTTGTTTTTTTTTAATTCAGTGCCTTGACAACTGGGAGCTAGAAAACTTAGGAAACCCCCCAACCAGTGACATAAATCAGTATTGGCAATCTAATGCTCCAGCATGAGTACGATATCTAGTGTGCCCCAAAGGTGTTTTTTCAAGAGACAATTGGACTTTCCGTTTTTTCTTGGAAGACATTTTGCTTCTCATCCAAGAAGCTTCTTGGATGAGAAGTGAAACGTCTTCCAAGAGAAACCAGAAAGTCCAGTTGCCTCTTGAAAAAGCACCTTTGGGACAACCATGACCTGGATGACTGAGAATCCCTATAGACAATACCTGGTGTGCTTTCTTTAGTTTTATGGATTTTTCTCTGGTTACGCCTTAGAAAACCAGTGTCATAATTTCCATTGTGAAGCAGGAATCAAACCAAAATATTTTGCTAGCTAGCTGGACTGTTGCAGCAACAACACAAGTGCTGCTCAAATATCTTGATGGCATCTGGCCATGTATGAAAGAACTTTGCCTGTATTTGGTTTGCATATGGCTCCTTTTCTATATTGGGGCAAACACTAATAGAAGGGAATATATAGTATATAGCTCAGGGTTGAACTGTGCTCGCTGAACATGGCTGTTTTCTTGTAGATATGTCAATGAAGACTCAATCATCCAGGCCAAAAGTATCCAAAAAGGTTAAAAGTTAAAGTTGCCCTAATTTAACTTCTTTAGATATTTTCTCTTAAACATTTCATTACCCAACTACACAACAACTTCAGTGCTAGATTGGTGCAAGATTAGAACAAATCTTAGGCCAAGAAGGAATTTAAGTTTAACGTGCCACAAATCTCCTTCTTTGTTATGTCTGACCTATAAAATCTGGCTTCTTGGGAAAAGAAGCCACAGTCTGAGTTTTGTATCAGATTACAGGAGTTGTGGAGTTTTATATCACTAGGCGCTCTGGTGACACAGAATGCAGTATTCCAGACTAACTCTGCTCACTGCCAGCAGTTCGATCCTCACTGCCTCAAAGTTGACTCAGCCTTCCATCCTTCCAAGGTCAGTAAAATGATCCAGATTGTTGGGGGCAATATGCTGATACTTGTAAACTGCTCAGAGAGTGCTTGAGTGGTATATAAGTCTAAGTATGGAGTGGTATATAAGTCTAAGTATTATTGCTATTGCTATATTGTAATTACATATTGGATTTGATATGCTAATTATAGAATTAGAATTAGGAAGAGCTATGCAGTAGAAAAATGAACTATGTGGACCAGCAGGTAATTCTGTGTTATAAACCTAGCTGATTTAATTTAATCCAGAAGCAGAGAACCTATAGCCCTTAAGTGCTTTTAAGCTACAATTCCCAGTAACCTCCACCAGAAGTAAATCTGGTTGCAGCTAGAGGGCAACTCCAGGATGGCCATGTCGCCTTTGTCCTAGGCAATCAGGAAACCAGTTGAACTGGTCCACCCAAGGACACTTCCTTTGGATGCCCAAAACAATCATGGATGGGACAAGGAAAACATATTTGAAATTAGCAGGTGGAACTAACCCATGTCAACTTCAACTTTATGCAGTTTAGTCACAACGAACTGCAGCTACAGTTAGGTTACTTACCTGGCAAGTGAGGGATTATTCTACTCTCTGTGTTAATTTCCCCAGATTCAATCGGAAACATTTCCTTCAAAACTTTCTAGCAAGAGAAAAGAACAAAAGATCAGTTTCAGAATCTAACTGAAAGTCGAGGTCATTTCACCATTAAGCTCTATTATCTAATACAGTGATCTCCAACCTTGGCGACTTTACAACTTGTGGACTTCAATTCCCAGAATTCCTCAGCCAGCTCATGCGGCACAGCTGATTGTTGGAAATACCAGTTTGGAGGAACCGGTAGCTTTTCTTTTACTACCGGTTTGCCCAAACCGGTGCGAACCGGTAACATTTCACCACTGCACACGCCCCTCAAGTGTCACCCTACCTAGAAGCAGCACGTATGCACTTCCACACCTAGGACAAGCTCCCCTATAAATACAATCTTCCTGTATCCCATTTCTCTGCAGCTGCCCCCAAAGCAAACCTCTTTGCTTTTGGGAATAAATATTTCTCCTTTCCTCACAGCTGTCTGGATTTCATTTGAATTTATTCCTGCACAACCCTGGCTTTAGTTGGAGCCCCAAATCGTTCTTCTGACAGCATTTTGTGCCAACTCTGCCTCACAGCCCTGGATCGATTTTCTTTTCCTAGGAAAAGGAACCAGGAACAGTCATAGGGGAAAAAAGGGAGTTGAAGCAGACAGAATCCAAAAATCTGTCTTTCTAAGAAAGTACCTTCCTAATTCTTTCAAAAATGCACGTACATACTAAAAAAAGAAAAAAACACCCAGGCTACATAAAAAAAGACAGTCGTAACCAATTTCTTCTTTGTGGGTTTCCTCCACTTTCACAACATGGGAAAGCTTCATGATTTCATAATTCTGTCCAAATCTGAAGGCATAAAAATTCCAATCAGCTGTACTTTTTAAAAAATAAAAAAAAATAAAACACAAGACCAATCTTGGTATGGGAACTATCCAAAGGAGAAAAAGTCCCCTCCGTGTTAACTGCAGGAAGTTATTCTCTGCTGGGAATATGCTCAGCAAATGTGTAGGTTAAGCTAAAAAAAATAAAAAGCTATTAAGCTATTAATTTCTACTTTGGGGAGCCAAATATGTTGGAACTACATTGAAGTGGCTTTGAGGATTCTGCCTGAGTTTATGCTCACTTCTCATCAATCAATCAATCAATCAATCAATCAGAATAGAGCAGGTCCTAAGATTCCTTCCGAAATCCTAAAATTCCTTGCCACATGGCTCTAGGTCAGAGGTGTCAAACTCAATTTCATTGAGGGCTGCATCAGGATGGTGTTTGACCTGGGGGTGGGGGCAGTGTAGGCGTGGGCAGTGTGGGCGTGGCCAGCTCTACAACACTCGTATTGGGCCTCCTTTGGTGCCCTGAGCTCTCTTCCAGCGAAAACGGGCTCCCAAGCTCAGTTTTCAGTTGCGACGGCCTCCTGCACCCCTCTGCTAGTGAAAATGGAGCTTTGGAGGGCTGCACACAGCCCTCCCAAGCTCTTTTTTTTACTGGCAGAGGCACTGCGGCCAGTCCTTCGCTGTTTCCAGGGTGGCCCCATGGGCCAGATTTAAGCACCCCGGGAGCCAGCTCTGGCCCCCGGGTCTTGAGTTTGATATCCCTATTCTAGGCATTATGGTTGGTCACACAGCCAGCCAGATGTTTAGACTGGATTTGGTATTTTTTTCCACCTATCAAATATTTCCAAAGAACCTGGGATAGATAACAATCTTCATATCTATTCATAACTTATGTATGGGGAATCTGCGGTTAGATTCAAAGTTTAAGACTGGTGGAAACTTAATTCAAGGCATTATTTTTTTTCCCCCTCAGCCTTCCCCCAAACCTAATCTAAAAATAAAACTTGCAGGCGGCATGGATCCAATCCATACTTACATGGAACTCATAGATCTCCGTGAACTTCCGATACACAACTTTTTCTGACAGATCTTGCCATTTCACCAGAAACATATAAACCTGAGAAAAGCACAGCATTTAAAATCAACAATGATTTTCAACTACTTGGTTTTCTTTTTCTTTGATCTACTGATGATTCATTCATGTTCCAGAATATGAAAAAATTGTTTTATATTCTGGATATGTATCTTGTCTTACTGACCAGCCAGGGAAGCTCTTTAAGATAACACATCGTGATTGACTTCTATCTTGATTTCAACAAAACCTTTGTCATGGCATTCTGATTAGAAAGCTAGTTATGTGAGGAGGGGGCACTACAAAGTATTGGTACATACTGGCTCTACAGTCACACTCAAAACAACATTGGACAGAAAATTGCTCCCCCCCACCGTATCAAAGCTTTTTCCTACATCTTGGAAAAACCACTTGGATTTGACCAGCCCTCTATGATATGGATAACATTGAACCAAATTCAGACTGGTCATGGTAGATGCGCAGTTACCCTCTAAAAGAGGGGCAAAACACCATTACTAAATTGTGACTGTGGGGCTAAAAAATAAACTATCCAACACACAGTGACAGTGTGTCAAAACAGAGCTTATAATGCAGATTTCGCTGATTTCCTGGCTGCAACAAATGAAGTAAAATCTTATATTTGCAACTTAGATATAGGTTTGTAATCTTCTTGTTAAGTTTTCGGATTTTATATTCTGTTTTGTATTTTACCCCTTTTGTTTCTTTTTACTGAAATACAGTGTGAATGTGCTATATGATAATAGATAGATAGATAGATAGATAGATAGATAGATAGATGATAAAGAGATAGATAGACAGATAGATATAGATAGATAAATAAAGAGAGAGAGAAAGATAATAGATAGATGATAGAGAGATAGAGAGAGACAAGAGACAAGAGACAGAGAAAGACATAGATAGATTGATAGATTGATAAATGATAGAGATGATAGAGATAGATAGAGAGATGATAGATAGATAGATAGATAGACAGATAGATAGATAGATAGATGAGAGAGAGAGATGAGAGAGAGAGAGAGATGATAGATGATAGCTAGCTAGCTAGCTAGCTAGCTAGCTAGCTAGCTAGATAGGTAGTAGGTTGATAGATGATAGATAAAACATTAACACTCAAAGAAGCATGTCAATAGTTCTTCATCAAACCACAGTGGGGTTTGAATATTGAAAGTTACATATTGAACAGGACCACAAAGTTCAGTCCTAGACCTTGTTCTCTCCATTTTTTTAAATTAATAATTAGAGGAATTATTATCCCATTTGCAGGTGATAATTATAAACTTCTTTGGATGAGCTAGCTAAAACATTTAGTTGCCCATCTTAAGTCAAACTCTGGGCAGCTCCCAATCAACAATTAAAATAATACCAATAATAAAAACATAGCGCCCCACTAAATCCATCAAAACCATAAATATTAAAAACCTGGCACCAAAGTTAAACTTCCACTATACAGTCCCTCATTGCATCCTCTCATCCATTTCATTCTGTCCTAAGCGCTGTCCTAAGTGGGGAAAGTTAAGTCTCTGTGTTTTTCGGAAGGCTAGGAGGGCAGACGACAGTAATAATATTATTAAGTAGTAAGAATATCTTGGTAAGTTTGAGAAGTGGGCTGGAAATAAAGGAATATATTCAGCATTAATCCTCAACCTCAATTTCCCATGTCTAGTTGTAGACCCCACATTGAAAGAAGAATCCAAGAAACTCTTGATTGGTAGAAAGAGAGCAACAAGAATTCTCCAAAGATCCTCATTGCTCTCAATCTGAGTATGACATGGTAGCATTTTTTTCAAATCCCTGCAGAGGTATCATAACACGGGAATCGAGACTCATTTTTCATCTTCTCAGGTTGCAAGGAACTCTTTCAGATACTTGAAATGTGGTAGCATATTCTGCGCCCCCCCCCAATCAATCATCTTTCAATGGCCTTCACTGGCAAGAAGGCAGATGTTGAATGTTTAGGAGAAAATTTCCAAGGGATAAAAGCACTTTGACAATGGAACTGCGAAACTGTAGGTTTCTGTTTACAGGTTGTATTTAGGTGGAGGCCATCTGGCTCAATCTGATTGGGATACTTTCATTAGGATTCTCAACCCAATCTGGAAGTCGGACTTCATAGCCAAAAATGCCCTTTTCCAGCTGTGCACAGCACTCCTTTAACTGGCACACTGAATTTATTCAATGTTCTCATTTTGTGCACTACACTGAAATGTAAACTAACCAAGCAAGATAAGTTAATGTAGGTTAAGCCATCAAGGCATCTAATTAAGCTTAGAAATTAACCAGGTTTAGACTCTTGAGTGCCACTGTTGGGTCTTTATCTGGCAAAATTAAATGTGATTAAGCCTGTTCTTCTAAGATTCTTTGAAAAAACCCCTCCCTTCACTATGCTGTATGTTCTATTCTGCTCCATTGAATTATCATTGTCTCAAAGATCTGCCTTAAAGGGGGAAGATGAAATAGCAATAAATATAAGCATAAAACAAGCTCAATATTGTCTGTTCTGATGTTTAGACTGCTATCTTTCTCCTTTCTATAACTGCCCAAATTTTGGATTAAACCAGAGATCTTTTAATAGTGGAATGCAACACTTAACCTCCAAATGGAGTCTGTTCTCCAAGACATTTTAGATAACTTTTAAATAACTTTTTCTGAGCTATTAAAGAAATCTATTGGTTTCTTCTACTCCCAGCCCCCCCAGAAGTCAAATTCAGCTTCTTAAATCAGGTTTTTTGATCTCCAAGTACTTACATAGTGTTGGCTGGGGAAAAATCTCTTCTCAAATCCCAGCAACTCGATATGCCGAATGTAGATGATTGATTCACCCATCTCTGCTGCTGGGAACTGTCCTTTGAATTTGTGGTAGGAATGGTCCTCCTGGTACTTGTCTCTTGAACCTCGTGCCGTTCTGACTTCAGCTTTTATACACCACAAAAGGGGGAAGTCCGATTTTCCCACATTGCCGACCCAGGATTTTGCTTTCAATTTCCTTCCTCCTGTGTGTTTTCATTTGTTCTTTCGTTGGGCATTAATTTCTGTTCAGTTGCACCTGTTGGGGATCTAGACCTCTTCTCAGTCCTGCAAATGGGTTTGGACTACAAAGCCCTTTATGGCTCAGTATCAGACTCCTGCAGGACCATTTATTGCAGTCAGCATCAGCCTGACCAGTAAGATCTGCCAGGAGAAATAGTTGCAAACCTCATACTTTGTGGAGGCTCAGGCAGTGAGGCAAGGAGGTGCCAGTTTTCTACCCCAACATGGAACATCTGCCCAATAAAAATCAGGCCAACTTCTGTACAGTGGTCTAAAGCACCCTGTTATTAAGACCAGCTGCCTGCAATTACTGCAGGTTCGAATCTTACCAAGGCTCAAGGTTGACTCAGCCTTCCATCCTTTCTAAGGTAGGTAAATTGAGGACCCAGTTGTGGGGGCAATAAGCTGACTTTGTATAAATATACAAAAGAATGAAGGCTACTGCTTAGCACATTGTAAGCCGCTCTGAGTCTCCGGAGAAGGGCGGCATATAAATCAAAAAATTAAAAAAAAAAATTAATTAACTTCTGCTTTGCTGATTTTGCAGATGTTTTGAAAGACCAGGCCAGTTCAAAGAAACTTTCTGTGCTCTGGTGTCACTTTTTTAAAAATGTCTTTGGACCGATTATCAGAGTTGGAAGGGATCTTGTAGGTCATCTAGTCCAACCCCCCACCTAAGCAGGAGACCCTACACCATTTCTGGCAAATGGCAGTCCAATCTCTTCTTGAAAGCTTCCAGGGATGAAGCTCTCACAACTTCCGAAGGCAACTTCTGTTCCATTGGTTGATTGTTCTCACTGTCAGAAAATTTCTCCTTATTTCCAGGTTGAATCTCTCCTTGATCAGTTTCCATCCATTGTTCCTTATCTGGCCATCAGGTGCTTTAGAAAATAGCTTGATCCCCTCCCCTCTGTGGCAGCCCCTCAAATGTTGGAAGACTGCTATCATGTCTCCCCTGGTCCTTCTCTTCACTAGAGTAGCCATGGTTCCTGCAACCATTCTTCATGTTTTTGTCTCCAGGCCCCTAATCATCTTGGTTGCTCTTCTCTGCACTTTTTTTAGAGTCTTCGTGTGTTTTTATTGTACTGGGCATATTTAAATCGTATTGTCTTTTCCTACACAACCTGTTAAGAGTTGTTTTGATTGCAGCAGCACAGAAATATGTCACATAAACAAACAGAACAAAACACCTGACTGTACCCCAATGTTCAAAATCTGGAAGATGCTAAGTGTGATGTCATGGCCTAAGCTCCGCCTCTTTTGTATGTTTGTCAACATTCCATGCACCTGCAAAAAGGGCGGGGCTTCAATCCCAGTGACACATCTGACCTCTTGCTGATTTTGTTATCTCCCTGCTGAGGCCCATGGGTTAGTACATAAAGGAAGTGATAATAATATTAATAGCAATCATAATATTTTGAAAAGGGATAAAAACAGAACAATGTGTCATGGTCATGTGTGATTCCTGGACTTCCCAATCCTAGCTTAAGCCTTCACATGGGCTTTGCCAGAAGCAGCAGCAAATGCAGCACGTACCAAATATGGTAACCATCATGGGCTTTTTGACCACATCCTGCAGATAGTGTCTTCTCACAATGTTGTGATTGTTTGGTTATTTCCCATCAGGTTGTTTTCAACTTGCACCACTGGGAGGGGAATATGGTTTAGGGCAGTGATGGCTAACCTTTTTGCCATCACGTGCCAAAAGTGGAGGGAGTGCGGGGAGATCGTTCGCGCACGTGCCCAAACTCATAATTCTATGCCCCCCCACCCCCTGTGCATGCGTGCGCGACCCTCCCGCACTCCCGCCACTTTTGGCATGCAATGGCAAGGTAGGCCCATTTCTCGCTCTCCCCAGGCTCCAGAGCCTTTCTAGGAGTCTGGGGAGGGTGAAAACGGCCTTCCGACCCCCCCCCAAGGCTTTCTGAAGGCCCTTCGGAGGCCGGAAATGGCCCGTTTGCCAACTTCCAGTCGCACTGAAAGGCCCGTTTTCACTCTCCCCAGATTCCAGAGCCTTTCTAGGAGGCTGGGGAGGGCGAAAACAGCCTTCCCCCCTCCCCCGGAAGCCCTCTGGAGCCCAGAAACAGCTTTTTTCCTGACTTCAGGTAGGCCCAAAAGGCCCAAAAATCAGCTGGCCGGCACGCGCATACACGCCAGAGTTGAGCTTGCGTGCCTACCAATATGGCTCCGTGTGCCACCTGCAGCACATGTGCCATAGGTTCGCCATCACAGGTTTAGGGAATGCTGCCTGGAGTTAAACATACTTGCAGTAGGCATCTCTCAGCCTGTGAGCTGCAGGAAATTTATGTCCTTGCTCTTGGGTCTGATTGATGGATTAATAGCTGCTCATTTCACATAAGAGATTCTAGGCAGCAATTAATATATGGTCGTAAACCAGGGGTAACCAACCAACCTTGGCAACTTTTAAGACTTGTGGACTTCAACTTGAGCCTTGGTGGCGCAGCAGACTAAAGCACTGTTAAGTAACACCAGCTGCCTGCAATTACTGCAAGTTCAAATCTCACCAGGCTCAAGGTTGACTCAGCCTTCCATCCTTTCGAAGGTAGGTAAAATGAGGACCCGGTTTGTGGGGGCAATAAGCTGACTTTATAAAAAAGAACACCGCGCGGGGGGGGGCGAAAGCCCTACTAAGCAGGTATATACAAAAGTATGAAGGCTATTGCTTAACGCATTGTAAGCCGCCCTGAGTCTCCGGAAAAGGGCAGCATATAAATCGAACCAATAAATAAATAAATAAATAAACTCCCAGAATCCCCCAGCCAGTCACGCAAGTCTTAAAGTTGCCAAGGTTGGACTTCCCTGTCCTAAACCCCTCCCCTCTTTTTTTTTTTGAAGCCTTTTGCTTTAGATAGGGTGCATTTGAATTTTTGATTATTTTGTTCTTGTTTTCAATTGGATGTTAACTACCCAGAGTTGCACGGCGAATGGACAGTGATACCAAGTGAATGGATGGCTGGATAAATGTCAACCTTTGAAGGTAGGACACATCCGGAAACAGACATCAGAAGAACTCCTGATCTCTATTTTATTTTTATAAGGTATAACAAAAAGATTTTTGGAAGGCTGGCAAGTGTTTTTCTTTCCTCTTCTAAAAAGTGGGCATCTTTTAAAGGAAGTTAAGGTGAACTTGGTTTAAGCTTCTTCCTAACATCCCCTTCTGTTGACAGCTTGTTTTGCTGTTACATTTTCTCTGACGTTGACTATAATACGGTAAGTAAAATACAACCTCTAGCAATTGCACTGCCAACTATGAGCAATATTTGCCTAGGCTTTCCACAGCCAAGAAATTAAAAGGAAAATTAAAAAAACTACCCTTCTAAGGAAACCCCAGCCTGATGACTCAGGAGCATTGTTACATCATTGGATTATCCTCTGTTGCTCTAAAAAAAGAAAACGACATCCCAACTGCTAAAAGATTCACCACTTGTATTTTGGTGGACACTTCACACTGGCTTTGATAATGACTGAGAAGGCTTTTTAAAAATTACCTAAGCTTTGGGATGATGGTTTATTGTGTCCAACTAAGAGTTTGAGATCAGCATTTCTAAGAATCCTAAGAGAAGGATCAGTAAAAGTAATTCCAGGTTTGGAAATTAGCCCCAATTTCTCTACTCTGGTTTCTTTACCCACTTATACAAATGGGGAATTACAGGCTGCTTATACAGGGGGTTCTCATTTAATGATCACAATTGGGACCAGCAACTCAGTTGTTAAGCAAAGCAGTCACTAAGTGAAACTGCAATCACGCTTTTGATCTTACTTCAACTTTCTTTGGCTTTGCAGATCTATGGATGTCATAAATGGGAGGATTGGTCGCTAAGTTGTTTTTTCAACATTGTTGTAACTGCGAGTGGTCACTAAAAGAGGACTACCGGTACCTGTACTAACACATTACCCATGTTCTGATGTATTAAAATGTAACTAGTGGTCCATAATGTTATGCAAACACAGCTTTTGTATGAACCTGCCACAGGAGGGGGGAAAATCAACAGGAAGGTGTGCTACAAATAGGAGCAATTACATGAATCCATGTCTCCCTGATTAAATTTATTTCGGGTGAAATTAAGCTGAGAACCCAAGTCTGCCCAGATTGGGCTAAACTATAATGCTGAGCAACCCTCATTCAAAATGGCCAAGGCAGAAAAATGCTAGGACTTATAAATTCAGTAGGATTTGAAAAGTTGCAGGTTTCCCACTGCTGGATAAAGGGAAAGAGGCTAAATTTTAATGTAAGTTGCCATATAAAATTTATTTTGCTCCTCCATGATTTTTCCTATTTGCAGAACTAGGGAAGCAACCCTGAAAGAGGCTCTGCCACATTGTACAAAACCAGGATCTTGGCTTGTTGAAAAGCAGTTTCAGGATCTGAAACCAGGATTTTGGCTTGTTGAAAAGTCCACTATAACAAAAAAGGATCATGGTTGTCCAGAGTCCTAAAGCAGGAAAGCAACAGCTGAGTTTCCAGGTGGTTTGGATGACATCATCTATCATTGAGCCACCAGGATTGTTAGTGAAGGGAAGTGATAGATACAACACTACATAGTAGTGTTCCTTCTCTACTCTTCCATGCAAAAACCAGCCTTGAAAAAAAGATCACACTGGCTGCCTGTTCCCCATATAGCTTTGATAGAGCAATTTTGCTTACAAGTCTTTAAAAGGCTAGACCAGTGGCTCTTAACCTTTTCTTCCAAACAGACCCATTTTAAATACCTTTTATGCAGGGGTGAAATGCTCCCGGTTCGGACCAGATCACCCGATCCAGTAGCAATGGCAGCGGGTGGTTCAGAGAACCGGTAGCAAAAATCCCTGCCCCCCCCATGCTCAGCTGAGTCGCACGATCATCAGAGGCTTTTTTTTTACTTTTAAAAGCATTTTTTCTACAACCGACGAAAAAATGCTTTTAAAAGTAAAAAAAAAAAAGCCTCTGATGATCGCGCGGCTCAGCAGGGATCCTCAGAGGCTTTTCAAAGCATTTTTTTCTGCAACCTCTTGGCCGAAGAGGTGGTAAAAAGAATGCTTTGAAAAGTCTCTGAGGATCTCAGCTGAGTTGCCTGATTGGCAGAGAGGCATTTTTAAAAAAACCTCTCTGACGATCCCAGCTGAGTTGCCTGATCGCCAGAGGCTTTTCAAAGCATTAGAAAAAATGCTTTGAAAAGTTAAAAAAAAAGAAGTTGGCCATGCCCACCCAGTCACATTACCCCCCCCCACCAAGCCATGCCCACAGAACTGGTAATAACACATTTTACATTTC